GAAACTTTTATTCAGGTTTATCAAAAAAATTCTTCAAGGAGAAATTAAAGACTCACCACTTTAGAATAGCATTAACAAAGTACCTCAAAGTTTTCCGGAACCCATAATCGAAAAAGAGAATAATCCTAGTGAAAGTAGTCACCACAACCTGTTGTGACTGAATTAAATAATGCTAAATATCCAGAATACTATGGAGGAGACCAGGACCCAACCACTTGGCTAGAGAAAATGGAACAAGCTTTTGTAGCGAATAGAGTAGCCAATGATCGAAAAGTAGCTGTGGCAGTGTCCAGACCAAAGGCAGGAGCTGCTAGATGGTGGACTCAAGTTAGGGGAAATATAGACTGATGGAATGATAACACTAATAATAATACAATTGCAGCAAGTTTTGTCCGAATTTCCAAAGAAGGTATAGGACTAGAGCAATGGAAGAAGGTTGGGCAACTGAATTAGAAAAACGAAAACAATTACCTGGAGAAACAGTGGATGCTTTCGCAGCACATATATACGAATTGCTCAGGAGAATTGAACATGGGGGGAACAATTATCCAGAAAGAGTCAAAGCGAGAATGTTCATGGAAAGGTTACGACCAGAATTGTCCATGGCAGTGAGTCTATTCTTACCTGATACTATTCAGGATGCAATTGAAAGAGCTAACTAAGGCTTATGAAATGACCTACTCTAGAGGAGGAACCTTGTTGGCATATTCAGCAGAACAATTCATGCCTAACGTTCCAGGGATGAATCCAGGAATTAATCAATCATTGCAAGGGTTAATTGATCAACTGGTTAACCTGATAAGAATAAACAATAATAATGTCCAGCAAAGTCCAAGGATCCAAAATGGTGAAAACTGTTTGCCGGTAACATGTTACAATTGCAAACAATAAGGACACATAAAACCGAATTGTCCACAACTCTCTAATGGTAAAAATGGCAGCAATAACAATGGTGGAAACATAGGAGTCAGATGTTATCGCTGCCAGGAATTAGGACACTACAGCAAAGACTGTCCACAAAACAATAATGGTAATAATGGAGGAAACAACAACAGTAGTAGCCGTAACAATAATAGGAACAATAATAATAGTAGTAGTAGCAATAATAATAATAATAATGCAACAAGAAACAATAACAATAATCGGAATACCAACAATAATCCTCAGCAACAATCAATGTTGGCAGACATGGCTGTAGGAAACACAGTAAAGTTAATGTTACCTGTAGAAACAAAGAAACAAAAGACTACCGAAGAAGGAACAGGAGTAGCAATAAATATACAATCATATGGGAGTGACTCGGGATGAAGAAAGGAACCTAAACCACAAAATAATGAAGGACTAAAAGAAGAAAGAAAAAGACTACAAAGAGAACACCCAGGAAAAAGAGAAATGGAGTACAGCCTCCAATTTCGAATTTGATACAACCATACTCAATAGTAACTGGCATCAAAAAGCAGGAAGCTGATATTACCTTCGGGCAATTATTCTAAGCAGTACCAAAGTTGAGATCGGAGTTGTCTAGGAGTTTACGAACTCCTCAAACAAGAAAAACTAAGAAGACACCACAGACTGAACAACTAAATGCTGACATAAGATCAACTGCAATGTACTGCAAAGCAAGTATCAACGGAAGAAGCTTTCCTATAATTATAGATAGTGGGGCAGCAGGAAGTATTGTCTCTAAAGGACTGTTAGATAAACTAGGAGCAAAAAATCATCAGTTGTAATCATCAATGTAAATGGACAAAAAACTTCACCTTTGGGAGAAGTAGATGACTTACCATTAACTATAGGAGGTATCACAATTCCACTATCAGCAATCGTAACAGAATTATTTATTATCAACTGAATTCGTGTTATGTTCACTTGTTTAATTATTATTAATTAATCCGTAGCACATTCATATTTATTTAACTTTATTTAATACCCTATAAAAAATTGCACACGGAAAAGATGCGAGAAAAGTGAGTTTAATTTCATTATTAGTATTAGTGTGGAAAAATGTATTTTTCCGGTAAAATTCCATACAAATTCCGTACAGTTTTCCTTACAAAATTTTTTATAGGGTTGCACATGAGACTGGGCCACAGAAAATTAATGCTGTTATAATAAGTGAAATATCTATGGTGGGCAATGATCTGTTCATCTTCATCAGTAATACCTTCTCCTGGGTTCACAATAATAACTCAACACATATAATACACTTGATCTTTTTCTTTTTGTTGACATTAATGTGGCTCACATCAACCAATTCTTTCTTTTCTAGAACTTGTTTTCAATATCAGTATCACTAACTATGTTTAAAAAAAATATCATTTATAAGAATCTAATTTTTATTAATTTTTTTGCCATTTGAATCACTTATTGAAGCATCATTGTTTTCTCAAATCGTATCCCTCCTAGACTTTTTGTAATTGAATTTTTATCAGTGGAAAAATCGATTTTCCTCAGTGTGCATATCACACAATAAAATAAAATTAAAAGTTCACCCACCTCATTTATTCTATTCGAATTATTCATTTATTCCAAATTATTCGTTTTTATTTTATTTTGAATGATTCATTTTATTCCAAATTATTCGTTTTTATTTTATTTCGAATTATTCATTTTTATTTTATTCGAATAGAAATCCTAGTTCTGGTAAGTGCAAGGGTTTCTTTTCGGCTGCACACGTACTATCATTGCGGGCAAGTTCTGGTCAAGTGTTTCAGTTTTCTTTTCAGCTTCATATGCTCTTAAAAAAAATAAAAATATACTACAAGCAATATAGTAAAATTAAAAAGGTTCATAATTAATGTTAAAGGTTGGTCAAACCATTAATTATCAGTAATGATTATGAATAAATCACACCAGCTTTATTAATTATTATCAAATGTATATTATTAAAAAGATCGAAAGAAATTTTTAAGCGTATTTATACTTCTTTGAAGTATTACAAACAACATGACCTTTTCATGATTTTGTCCAATAAAATATAATAAATAGGAAGTTAATTATTAAAAAATAGCTCAATTATTTAATAAATCATAATTTAAGTCGTCATTAACTACAATAAAATAATTATTATTAAAGGGAAATTTTTTATAATTTTTTTTAAAGTCACTTTTTTAATGATTTGGTAAATGACGTGAATGCAGTTCATTAATTAATTTCGTGACAAACATGTTATAATAGTAGCAGAATATATTTAGGGAACTTGGAAAAAGGGAATATGTACTATTGAACTGATTTTAAAACGCCATTCATTCAGAAAGAAGGGGACGTTGCTAGCGAAGGGTTTAAAATAGTAATTACACCTCAAAGAGTGGTAACTTTGTGACTTCAGTACGCCACCTACAGTTGACTAGAGTTGTAGGCATGATTTTAAGTTAAAGGGTCGGTTTATATTTTATCGAATGGAATGCATTTCTTTTATCACTAAAAAAATTCATTGAACACCCTTAATTTCGAGGATTGAAAACATTCTTCTCCAGTGTTGGCAATTAGTTAAATAACTTTACCAATCATTCAAAGGTAAAACAACTGATTCGAGGAAAAGGCCATATTGGCACATGATCATTTAGTATTTTTCAATGACTTGGTCAAATTTTATAATAAAAGAGAGGTCATTTTCCAACGCTGTAAAAAAGCACATTTTACAATTTTGTTTAAAAATTTATCAATTCCACTTATAATGTAACAGCTTAAAAGTCAATAGGTTATCATATTTCACATTTAAAGAGTTTATAATAGTGACTTTAGGAATGATATATCAAAAAATGATTTTAATCACATATTTGCAGATGAGTTCCAAATTTGATTAGCGTAAGAATTCAACCGCGCAGTTTTATTTGAACCAAAGTTCACAATTTCAAATGTTTTTTGAACTGATTATTATTGCATCCCAATCACAAATTGCCTTTAGTTACAATCTTTTTGTTAAAGCTTTTTTTTTATTAGACAATCTAAACAGTCGATTTCATTTTTTTCATGCTTGATATATTAATTATTTTTATTCATTAATAATTAGTTTTGGACAAATTGGCAAATATTATTATAAAAGTGTTCTTGACGTTTAAGATCTATATGAGCAAGTGTCAATCTAGAAAGGATAAGGATTTGATACCTTTTATTATAGCATTAAGATTTCTTGTTTTCAATAACTTAAATTCATGAAAGGAACCATCATCAATAACATCCCAAGCCTTTACTGAAAACTTCAAAAAAGAAATGTTGAAATTTTCATAAACCTCCAAACCAGACTTAATATACAAATATTGAAAACTTTTCCAGCATCACGGCATTGAGATTTATTCAATATGGCAGTAATATACATTATAAATACTACACTAGTAGGCGAAAATTAAAATTTGATTTTGTCGAAAGCCGAAAGTTTATGTCAAACATTTATGATTTAGTACAAGATTTTTCAGTTGGCCAATAAATATTCAAGGAATCTATGTATAGCTATACCAAATTTGATAGTTTTGCGCAAACTTTTGGTATTTCACCATCTGTCAAAAAGTTGACGCAAGTCGATAGCCTTTGCCCAAAAGTACATGGTTGGTTCGGTCTAAAGACCTCCTATTGCTGCACCCTGTGTCCAAATTTCAAAAATTAGTAATTTTGTAATTCGTTTCAAAAAATTAGTACTTTACGTGATTTTAGTTTTAAAAACTATTTCTTACTGCCAAATTTAGATACGATAGTCAAGTACTAGTCTAAATTTAGTAATAATTTTACCTAAATTTAGAAATGATCATAATGGACAAATTCCTCGCGAGCATAATAAAGTACATGTTTTAAAAAAGAATAGAACTCTACAACAAATAATTTTTTTGAGAATATCTCATTATTACATTAAAACTAAAGACCTATTCTATCAACTAATAATGCTATTTTTTTAAAAGGTAGGACAGAAAGTGTGACTTCTATATATATTTTTTAAAATTTAGAGGTCTTTAGACTAAGCCAACTATAGAAAAGATTATCTTGATGTAACATAAAAATGTGAGTGTATGACAAATTTTCAACCTCTTTATATACTATGTAATAAAGCACAAGTAATAAAAAAAAAATTTTTGATTATCAATAATAGTAGTTTTAAATTTTTGAACTAAAAAAAAAAAAAAAAAAAATGCGAGCAGTTCTTCAAAGAGTATTAAATGCAAGTATTATAGTTGACAATGTCAAAGTGTCCTCGATTGATAGAGGATTATGTGTATTGATTGGATTATCAACAGAAGATACTAACGAGGATTTAGAATATATTGTTAAGAAGATACTTAATGTTAAAGTGTTTGATTGTGAGGATGGGGAAGGGAAAGAAAAGAAGATGTGGGCTAGAAGTGTTAAAGATGCTGGTTTGGAAGTATTATGTGGTAAATTATATATATATATATATAATTTTGTTTTCCTGATTATGAAATAACTTTTGAAAAAATAAAAATAAAAATATTTTTTTTTAAAAAAAAAAAAAAAAAAGTATCACAATTCACATTATACGGAAATACAAGGCAAGGTAATAAACCTGATTTTCACAATTCAATGAAATCGGAAACTTCAAAAACATTTTATGCAAATTTCATTAATAGGTTGAAACAAGAATATATCGAGGATAAAGTTAAAGGTATGATAACAACAACAACAACAACAACAACAACAACAACGACAACAATTTAATTAATAATTTTTAAATATATTTTTTTTTTAAGATGGGATCTTTGGAGCAATGATGAATGTTCATCTTGTAAATGAGGTGTGTTTATTTGTTTTTGCCAAATGTAATTATTGTAAATTACTTTATTGATTGTTTAAAAATAATGTCTTTGATATAGGGACCAGTAACATTGGAATTAGATTCCAGGAAATTTATTTATGTAGATAAAGTAGAAAAAACCCCTAACAAAAACAAAAGCAACAAAAGCAGAAACAACAACAACAACAACAACAACAACAACAACAACAAAAACGACAACAAAAACGACAACAAAAACAATGACAATGATAGATAACAAAGAAAGCGTAGTAGAATGAAGATTGACAAATATTGTCCGTTATTTATCCATTCATAGATTTCTTTGTTGATGATAATCTTTATTTGAAGATAAAAATAAATTATAGTAGAACAATCCTCTCCCCCAACAAAATCCATAATAATGATCAGTCTGCATACAACACAAAAATATTACTCTTTGTCGTACATGCATTAAAAATTTTTTTTTCCTCTTCGCAAATCACATTAATGTCGACCAAGGACATTAAGTGATCTAAATCTTTCATATACACACATACACACACACATACACACATACACATACACATACACATACACATACACATACACATACATGCATAACAAATTCCATGAATGCTTATTTGTTCACTCCTTGCTTGAACCACACGACGCGTAATAACATAAATCAAAAAATTAAACACACACACTTTCCAAAAATAATAATAACCGTCATAAAAATCTTAGATTACCCTATTCAACCGTCTTCATTCATCTTTTCTTCTTCAACAAACAATTGGTCACCTTTTGCAACTGTAATTTTGATTGCTCCTATTGTTTTCATTGCAATGCATCAGGTTTTTGCGCATTAATAACAATAAGATTAAGGCAATTATGACAAATTAAATTAAGCCAATTACAATCTTGAATACCCACATACATACTTTCATATGCGTAACACCAAAAAAATTGATAAATAAGGATGATCCGCATATTAATTATTTGAACTCGGAGAACTATTTTTAAAACTTCAAACTTTAAAGTACAACTTAATATCATAATAAAAAAAAAGATATCACAACATTGGAATAATTATTAAAATCAGAATCTTGATCGTTCAGGATCTGATAACACATATATAAAATTCAGATTCGGAGTTTAATGTTTAAGGGTTTCCAAAACATTCGTCTGTTTATATTCATATTCTTTCATTTCCCTACCTGCTACCACATAAATATTTATTTTATTTATTATTTTTTTTAAAGTTTTGTGCGTGTGTAAAATAAACAGTAAACAATAAATGGAGGATTTTCCAACTCGGAACCATGTTGCAATAAAATGTTATTATTGATAATAATGATTGGCGGTAACGATAAATGAAAGAAGAATATTTATTGGATTATAATTTTATTTTATGCAAGAATTAATAATATTTATTTGTTTTTTTCATATGCAGAGAAATACTGTATGTGCAAGATTTTTTGCCGAAGATTTAAAATATACATAATAATGAATTAAAGAAAAAAAGCTATTTACATATATAAAAACACTGATTAATAATATAGTAGTAGTAGCAATAATAGTAGTAAGATTATTAATTAATAGTAGTAAATATTAAATTTTTTTTTTTTTGTTCTAAAGAAAAAATAAAATTCTAATAGTAATAATAATAATAATTAATAATAATAATAATAATAATAATAATAATTTTTCTAAAATAATTTTCTATTCGTTGGTTCGTTTGTTCATTTGTTCATTCAATTCCATATATTTACAAAGTTTTTTTTTTTTTTTTTTTTTTTGTTAAGTAAAAAAAAAATAAAGAATAAAAAAATTAGATTAGCAAATAATGTCTCCATATAAATATATATATTAAATCTTAATCGAATGCTAGGTTAAAATTAAGCAAGTAAAATATTAAAATAATAATAATAATAATAATAAAAATAAATAACAATAATAAAATTTATGTTGATGTTAATCTCGCAATATGATGATGGTATTTGTTATTGTATGTAACCAACCATCATCAATTGAAATGATGTTGTTGTAACTTCGAATATCATTACCAATTGAAATATTTATCCAAAAAAGAAATTTTCAATAACAATCAAATTTTTCGCCACGACAATTTATTATGGTGACAATGATGGCGATGTTGTTTGGAATTGTGATAGCGATGTTTGTTGAAGAGGTCTGAACCGAGCACAATGATCTAAATAATTTTGAACAAGATTGCAATTTGTACAATTTATATGAGCCATGACTTGATCTTGTAAAGACATTAATTCATCTTTAAGTGCTCTAACCGAACTGGTCAAATGAGCATTAATTTTCTCGGCTGTGATGACTCGGTCATTCAAATCTTGGACCCAAACTTTTTTCTTTTGGCGACATTTTGAAGCTATAATTAATTATGCAATATAAATAATATATTATTAATATATTATTATGATTAATTAATGTGTGTGTGTGATCAATAAATAAATTGATGATTACCCGCTACTCGATTTCTTTCCAAGAACCGTCTTCTTTTTTCCTCTTGCGATTCCTCTTCATCTAAAAACTTTCTTTTTAGTGATATTGTTTCAATAATGGAATCATCAGCGGTAGTATCATCATCAATCGGAGTTGTTGGTGTGGTGATGGTATCATCATCAATAACAGATTTTGTTTCATCGTCAACAATAACAATATCATTAACATTAGTGTCACCATCATTATTACTGTTACAATTACCGTCATTAGAATGATTACTATTGCCAAAAATTTTGGTTTTTTTGATTAACCTTGTAGTGATAGGTTGTGAATTAGATTTTGATTTTCTTTTTCTTTTGTTGCTATTACAGTCGTTGTTGCTTTTGCTGCTATTATTTTCTGCCAGAGTATCAATAATATCAAGATCAATGTAATCTTCAACGTCAACGCCTTTAATATCTTTGTTGTTATTATTCCTATTGTCACTAATTGAAATAACCTTTTGTTTTTCTTTTTGTCTTTCGTTCAAGGCTGTTATCGCATCCTGTTGTTGTGTAGTATTAGAAGTAGAAGCAAGAATTTGTGACGTGGGCGAATGAACTGCAATGGGTGTAAATGTTTGTAAATGTGGTGGCGATTGATCATTATTATTATTACCACTATTATTATTATTATTATTATCATGAGCATAATTTGTAGCGATGGGGGGGTTAGGAGTTGAAGCGTTATTCATTCCATAGAAATCCCCAAGGAAAATTCGATCACCCATGATTAAATGTTCGGGTGGTGGAAATGTTACGAGCGCGAACGTTGATGGTGGAGCCAATGATTGCGATGGTTGTGGTATAAAATTATTGAACGAATCATTAGGTGGGAATGTTTGAACCCAAGAAAGTGGAGAAGGTTGCTGTAATGATGACAATTGTGAAATAGCGGTGGAATTATTATCAATAATATCAGTGTAATTATTATAGTCATAGTTTTGTTGTTGTTGTTGTTGTTGTAATGGTGAATGTTGAGGTGTTGTAGTTGCAGTTGTTGGTTTTTGTAGGTTGAATTCATCATAATTGTTACGATCGTAGTCATTTTGATTGATGGTAAAAGTGATGATGTCACCACTGTTATCGTTGGTTTTGTTATTGTTGTCGTTGACAGCGATAATAGTATTGTCGCCATCACTATTATTGTTGATATCGCTGTAATGATCATCATTGCTGGAATAGCAATCTTCTTCGTTGTCGAGGATATTAAATAAAGGAATTGCATCATTATAATTGTCGCTAAAAGAACTGTAGTCAAAGTTGAAATTATCATGAAAATTTTTGTGTTTTGATGATAACAATAATGGAAATGGTTGTGGCGGAGGTTGTTGTAGAAAAACAGGAGGAGTTCTGTTGATAGATGATCCGGTAGAAGAACCGCTATCCATTCGCAACATACCATGACCATTATTAATACTGGAATTATCATCGTCATCATCATTACTGCTACTGCTGTCATTATTATGATTATTGAGTTGTGGCGTTGTTGGAGGAGGAGAGAATAAGTTATCCTATTATATTAGATCGATCGATCGATTTATTAGTAGGAAGATCATTTTTTAAAATAAATAAATAAATAAATAAACAATAATAACGAATATAGAAATGATCGTTGTATTGCTTACCATGGGAAAATGTGGACTAAATGCTGTTGAGGAAAAGAAAAAGAAGAAAGGAAAAAAGGAGGATTTCAATATATTTGAAAAATGATATTTAAACAAACAAAAATTTATTTTTGGATATTTATTTTGCTATCCTTATTATTATTACCTTCCAATATGGACAAGTTATTTTCAAGCATTTTTGTACCGTTATTATTATTATTATTATTGTTTTGAATCAAGTTGTTGTCCATTTCTTTAATGATTTATAAAATGAAATACGATTATTATTTGCTAGATATATATATATAAATATATACAATATATATCTTTTAATAGAGAACATGATACAAAAATGATATATTCGTACATATATTTAATATAAATATATGTATTAGCACATACCTTATATTTAATTGATGATAGATTTTCTTATAATATACGTGTGATATAAATTGATAAAAATTACTATTCGTAAAATTGTTTCGTAAAGGAAAAAAAAAAATATATTTTTTTTAAAGATTATTTTTCATAAAAATTGAGTTGAGTGTGTGGGTGGATAAAGAGAAAAAATGCCTATTTAAAATAACAACAATAATAATTATTATTATTATTAATCATAAATCAGAAAATTTTTTTTTTAAAAATTTAAGAAATCAGGAGAGATAAGTTGCTGCTATTTATTGATTTTTCCTTGCTGTTGTTTTTTTTTTGTTTATTATTTTGATATATAATAATACATATAAAGTAATAAATAAGCTAGCTAGTTAATAATAATAATAATAATAAATATAATAATAATAATAATAATAACAATTATAATAATAATTATAAAATAATATATTATCTTTATAACACACAACAAGTGTCCTGTGCACTCTGTTAGCAATAAAATAGTAAAATAAAAAAATAAAAAGTTTATTAAAGTATATTTTATCAACGATCACTTACACAATGATGTAATTGTTTTCTGGTTTGAATTTTTAGAGTTACCGTGATTGATTAACAGGGTAACAGAACCTATCTCATCCTTATTATAAATAAAATAATTAATTATATTATTAGTTAGATTTCTTCGTAGATAATGATCTGCCTATTATCTTCACAAATACTAAATCTGTGATATCTCGTAGATAATGTTTTATAATTAATAAAAAAATTAAAACTCAGTCTGAAATAAACATAATAGAAAATTATTTTATCATTGTTGAGTTTAAAAAAAAAAAAATTCAAAATTCAGATACAAAGCTAAAATAAAAGTTAAAAAATCATGGAATTTTTTGAATAAATTAATCAATTTAGTTGAGTTCGTTAGTTGTTAATTAATTAATTAATTAATTAATTAATTAATTAATAATAATAATAATAATAATAATAATAATAATAATAATATAATTAATTATAGTTATTTGGCAGTTATTATTTTTGTCGTTGTGTTAATATTATTATTAATATAAATAAAGTATGTTCTCAAAAAGGTAACATAATTGAAAAAAAAAAAACATTAAATAATTTTTTATATATGTTGTGGCTAAATAAAATAGTTAGAATAGACAAATTTAATTCATTGTCAATTGTATAATTTACTTCATTTTTTCGGAGAATCGATACTTTTTTAATTAAACGCCAGATGAAGCCAGATGACGATGAAATTAAATTTAAAAAATCATGCAATTTGGTTTTTTCGATTTTTTTTTTAAATTGTCTCATGAAAAAAAACCCGAGTAGATAATGATTTGTGTAAAATTTATGTTGCACTAGTATACATATATGTGTGAATGGAAAAATGTGTGAGTAAAAAGATAGCAATGTTATATGGGATTTTGTTTGTACTACAACCACATTGCCGTTTAATTCAAATTTCCCAATGTTTTTTATTTATTTGTTTTTTTTTGCCTTAAACATATTTATCATCATTATTTATTATTTATCTTATTTATCTATAACAGCAGACAACATAGTGTACGTGTGTTATTGTCTTCTTCTCTTCTTTTCTCTATTTCCCCAGAAAATGTCATTTCACTTTAAATTCTTTATTAGTTAGTTTACCAAAAATCACTTTATTTTATGTTAATTGATATTCCCATTCTTTATTCGTCGATATTATCATGTATAGATTTTCATAATATTACGCTGTTTTTCTCGATTTTTCTGATTATATAACGCGGTCCCGCGTCAAATCTCCATCTTGTCCAACTACAACTCCATATCAGTAAAATGGGAAACAGTTACACATAAAAAAAAATTTTTTATATTACACATTATAATTTTACAAAATATAATAAATAATAAACAATTAAACTCTTCCAGTAAAGAGCTAACTTTTTTTTTCAATTAACACTAAATCTAACATAAATAATCTGATTGCAGATACCAGGTATAGGCACCAAGTTTTAAGATATGAATAAATTAGGAAAATTTAATTTTTAATCAAATTGGGTTTTTTAAAATAACATAATATATTCGCTTCAAATAAACAAAAAAAATTTTGTGATACTGTGTCCAACGCCACAAACGCTACTGTGAGTTTTTATGATTCAATGTCTCTGGCCATGTTTCATTTTCATTGCTCGTTTTTTTTTTATTAATTATACATTATAAGATAAATAATTGGAGTAACTAGTCCAAAAGCGTAGTAGTACAACCAAGGCATGTTATCCATTGGTTCCCAAATTTTTGATCGTTGTAACAAAAAAAAAGATAAATTTAACGTGAGATTTTTTTTATAAAACAAAAAAAAATTTAATCTCGGTCAAAAATAACTATATAAAGTAAAATATACTCGTTTTTTGATCGTCAAGATTTTCATTTTTAGCCATTTTTCTTTAACTGAAACTCGGATTGATTTCCTTCTCTCTACAATGATACATTTTTTTTATTATTTTATTTTTTATTCTTGTCTAAAATTTCATAAAAATATAAAAGTTCAAAGAAAAATATTATTTATTATGCTTTTTAAAGTTACAATTTGAGGTTTTTCACAATGAATAAACACATCCCTTTATAGTAGTGTGTGTTAATACCAATTGATCTATCATTATATCATAATCATGTGACTTCCACTACGACAAGGTTTATTTATATTATTATTATATGCCTTAATTAACATAATGTTGATCAGTACGGTCATTTATTTATATTATCGAGTACATTAAACAATTAAACAATTGATTGCAGAGTTGTACATGTGTATGATATTTTTTTTGATCAAAGTTACATACTTTCGTAATGTAACCAGCCCATGAAATTTATTTTATTATTATATGTCTTAATTAACATAATGTTGATCAATACGGTCATTTATTTATATTATCGAGTACATTAAACAATTAAACAATTGATTGCATAGTTTACATGTGTATGATATTTTTTTTTGATCAAAGTTACATACATACTTTCGTAATGTAACCAGCCATGAAATTTATTTTTATCATAATAAATAACTATCTATTTGATCATGGGATTTTCACCATTGGCCAAAAAAATCATTCTGTCCCATAAAGAAAACAACAATATTCAAAATGGAGTCCCTCTTTTTTTGTGGAAAATTACTAACACGACACCTCAAAGTTCTTTGTATAAATTCTTAATGATGCAATAGAATTTTCACCACCATAACGTGCCAAATTTATGCATTGTATCAGCCATTTTCTCAAATATAAGTTATGATATAAGGCTTTCCCGAATGGTACACCCTGAAACACATAACATTTCATTTTGCATCTTACATATGATTATTCTACATCTTACATTTTATATTGGATCATCCCATCATTTGATCTACAATAAGGATATATTTAATCATATTCACAGGAAAACTTGACATTTATTTATGTTTACACTTTTTAACGTAGCACGCAAGTGAAACTCGATCGATTAGTGAGTGACCCAGTGATTATAATCATGTGATTCCTATTATTTAATTATTTATTACACAAATTATACAGATGAAGAAAAAATGGGAAAATTAAAATCAAAAGCCAAACAAGCAAGCATTCCAAAGAAACGAACAAAAATGAACTGAAAAAAAGAGTATTCTAGAAAGCTTTTGCTTCATTTACAATGGATCTCGTTACATTAAACATTGAACATTTTTCAATGCTCCAGTTCATCTTATAATAACTTTGCTCGCTACAATTAAAATTTTCTTTATTGTATACATGAAACAAATATGTAAAAAAGTAAATATCTGCTAAACCCGTTCCTTCATTAAAATAAGACTTTCTCTATTTGACCGGATCTGATTGGATCTTTTCATTCGTTGCCTTTCCTAGTTCATTCAGTAAAATAATAGGATCTTTTCCTTAATCACACTAGATTTACCCTTGTATTCTATCCAAAAATAGAATTGTCAAAGGAGACCGGTTCCACGAAAATTATTTTTCCTACCCCCGTGGTCTTGTATTCACTTTGATAGCGAAAGGCATCTTTGAATATTATATAGAATGTGATATGATTCCAAATACTTACTCCTTTTTGGATAAAATCTAGTATGGAACCAGTATTTTCAAAAAGAGACAATGTGAAAATTTCCCTTGTGCTTTCAAAAAGCTATTCTGTTTATCGTTTTTTTTGATCTTTGTGAAACCTTTCTTTCTTCGTAAATGTTTACAACTGGCCAACAGGCTTCATCTCTGAATTAAGAATAGAAATCTTTTCAACTTTTCTTTATATACATCTTTTTGGACCATCTTTCAGATCGTTATCTCCCAGCCAATTTTTCTGATCAAGGACATTTTTATTATCAAAAATAGAGTCTTTATAAAGAACCATCAACACTTTATCTGATCAAAATTCAAAAAGTATCACTAAATATCGATCTCGTATGTGTTGCTGAATTTTTTTTGGAACGTGAATATCTTACTTATAAAAGAAATAATAATGACTTTTTTGGGAAAGATATTCACGCTTCCAAATCATATGTCTGAAGGGGCGCCAAGATTTTGTTATTATACAACATCAATAGAGTTTTTTTTTGTCGTAAAGGACATTGTAGTGAGAACAATTTTTTTTTTTTTACATTTATTATTGGTTCCATCCTTATCTTTTGGATTAAATTCAAAGTCTAGGCATATTGATGTGCTCAAGTAATAATGACATTAAAACAAGTTTGGTTAAGTTGGCTGTCACGATTCATTCCATAATCTCACGCCATTGTAGTGGTTTTGTCGATATATTATTAATAATTATATATATATATATATATATACCTGATATAAATAATGTAAAGTACAATAATGGGAAAATTAATTGTTATTTATTCACAATTATTCCAATCCTTCGTTATAATGTTTAAGAATTATTGCAAACAAAGTCAAGCTTGTTAAATACCTCATTCTCACCCAAGTTAGTGTAACCATTCGAATGTTTCATTTTCTACGGTTTCAAAGAAGAAGAGATTGGCCTGATAAGCAACTTGAGATATTAGCCATTATTAGTATTGATGGCAAAAGTTTTTTTTATATTGTGTAATTAAAAATAAATAGTCAATCATCAAGTTTTAAATTATTATGGCGCAATATTATGGCGAGGATGGTCTCGAAACATCTTTTTTTTGGACGACCTTTAAAAGTACAGAACTACTGTTATTCTTACCATCTATGTTCTTCAAATATATATTACTATTCCTAAATTTGGTTTCACATCAAAAATATCAATTACAAAATCAAGCAATAAACAAATTTCTTCCTCGCCCCACACCTAAAACTTTTTGAGTCGACATTTTCTTTTCATGTGTTTATAGATTAATAATCAGAAGTAAAAGAACCAATCAAAAAAAAATTTTAGACCATTTTGAGATTTAGTCGCGTGTCGCAGCATTTTACCATTCGAGCACCTTGTGTCATTTTAGTAAATATTATTTTTTGTGTTGATTTTTAGAAAAATTCCCTATGCATTTTTTCCTGTTTTATAAAAGATACATGGGATGATCCTTATATGAAATTAACTATTTACATAAGATCCACCATGGAGTACAAGAATTACAATACTATCAGGTCAGGCAAGATTGGTGGTAGTCAGACTGAGGTAAATTGGGCATTTGGCACGCGGTTGCATTTACACTTAAAAAGACAGGTATATTGGACAGTCTGGTTATCAAGCCTGCTTCCAGTAGCATCTTGAAAAAAGAACAAGGCGAATCATATGTATTTAAAATAATAAACACTAGGAAAAGTAAGCAGAACGAAAATCAGCTATTACCAAAAAGTGAAAGAAAATAATGTGGGCAAAATCATAACCAGAAGATTTCATGTATTTTCGGGGGTTTTTTTGTGGAAAGGAATTTAAGTGTGTGATGTAATGAAGGATAGAAATTGCTCCCATTCGCATACAACTTGTAGAGTTCCTTAAAAAACTGCAAACCTGGTATTGATCATAGGTATAGTTGACATTGGACAACATCCTGACCGTTATGTTCAAGGTGTAGTGATTTTGTGTCCATGAGGGTAAATCAGATGATGGTGGTTGAATTGGTGATGAATTTGGTTGGGGGTGGTTGATTATTATTTTGAGTTGGTGATTGAGATGGTGGAGTTGGAGTTGTTCGGGTGAGGGTTGTAACGATGTTGGTTATCCTATACTCAATATTACGTGTGGATTATTGTCAGCATACGGTGATGGTGTATTTGGACCCACAGATGCAGGATAACATCCATATTCAACGCAAACCTTGATCATTGGAATTAGATTTAATAAAAATTTCCTTACGCAAACATGCAGTTAAATAGATGCAATTACATACCTCATAACCGTGCAATTTCTTCCGCCTTGCATGCTGGCGGGCGAGAGGCTTTGATACTCTTTTTTGACAACAGTACAATTCCATAATAACATTGGGGATCAGATCCCCCAAAAAACTAGTGATGATGTTAGCCGGCCAAGGAATTTTTAAACAACTTAACTGGCTAGGATGATGATAAATTTCTCTTGACATTCATTTTTACGTCTGGAATATTAATCTAGGATTCAGTGGAGACACTACCCGGTTGAGATGGCTCATCTGCACTACTTAACAATAAAGAAAGCATTAATAGTAATAATGGAGGTGAATTGGAATTGGGAGATATAATAATAACAATAATAATAACAATAATAATATTAATAATACCGGAAAGTTTGATATCATCTGAGAAGTTTTTCAGAGAAAAAGAATAGACTTGGTAAAGGTAATAAAAACAACCGATTTTTAGTGAATTTATAAAAAATATGTTATTTGTCTAATAAATTATTTGATCAAGGCTCACATCACCACGTAAATGATAGTACTATTACAAATATAATAATTGCCGTAACACAACAATAAAAAAAGATTAATATATAATATATATGTATAGTAATAATAAATTTTAAGTAAATAATAATATTAAATACCAAAAGAAAATTGCTTCTTTTTGCTAATGAGTTCTCAAGGTAAGTGATATTAGTTTTACTCACATGCAATTTGAAACATTAAAAACTTTTTAATTTAAAAATAGAGTTTTTTTTTGAAACAACTATATAACTATGTAGATGAGTCGAGAGATGGTCGTAGAAGTCAATATCAAGTAAGATAACAATATATCTTCATCTACTCTATATACAACGTGTTGCAATAAAAATGGCATTGATGAAGAATAGCATATCTCAACAACTACAAAAGATAAAATTACATTCATTTAAAATCCTATCAAATAATTTGTTAAATAAAAAAAATTCGATATGAATTAATATTAATATTACCATTTTTGTAAAGTCGATTCGCATCTTTTTTTAGACTTCACTAAATTTTTTGACTTCCACCAAAAAGTATTAGACATCTCAAAGATATCAATTAAACAAAAACGTACATAATAATAACAAAAAATAATCAGGCCAATTTTCAGCTCAAGTTCTAGAGATTATTTATATAAAATCACATGCTTCCAGATTTTTTAGAATTTTATCAATTAAAAATAAAATAAATTCAATTATTTTTGGAAAAGGAAATTTAATATAATAATTACTCTAAAGCCTACATAATAATGCATTTCAAAATTTCTATGTGATAATTCAAGATTGTCTGATCCTTTGATATAATTTTTATTAGTTAGAATGCAGGTGCAATTTTTTTCGCAACACACAGTATACTACTTGTTTTTATATACCTATTCTTCGTGGAATTTTCTTTTTACTTTAAAGAGAGTTCAGTCACACAATACATCATGCATGTTTCACTTGATTTAATGGGCCGCCAGAAAAGTACTGGTGAGCGGTACAGATGATATGCAAAAAATCTTGACAGGTATGATGTATGCATGTACAGGTGACCTGTAACCTGTACCTTTCAAGATTTAATTAGGAAATCTTGAAAAAGTACAGGGTCCCAGGGAATTTTGACATTTTAAAAAAAATCACGAAAAATTGTTTTCATTTTCAGAAATCTTGATTTTTTTTTTTAATTTAGAACAGTAAATGGTAAAATTGCACTTATTCTAATTGTTTGTTTAAATTTATGTTAGGCGAAGAAATTGATGAGAGAATTAATCTATTCAATTGTTTGATTGCATTTTTGTTTATATCTATGTTAGATGAAGAAACTGGCGAGGAATTAAAATTTATTCAATTGTTTGATTTAGAAACTGGCGAGAAGGAAAAATATATTCAATTGTTTTTTTTTTTTTTTGCATTTAAAAGATTAATTGATTGTAGAGCTTGGATCCAGATACTTATCCGTTTAAATTGTAGCAATCTGGATATCCTATTCATTTAAATTATAGAAATCCGGATATTGTATATTAATATTGAAAGTGTTTAACGAAACGCCGTCGAATCATATGACGGCATGTGACATAGTCGTTTCGTTTTTTCGTTTGTATTCAAAATTTTATAGATTTTTTTCATTTTATAATGAATAAATTTTTTTAAAAGTCATATATAATATATATATGACAGTAACATGTTTACTTGATTTGCATCAGAAACGAGATCCAAGTTTGAAAGACAAATGTTCTTATATACCATATACCTACCTCTTTTAATTCATCAGGAACAAAAGTTGGGTGGTAACGGAAAATATATTTTTCTTCATGAGACTTTGTCATAGTTTTTTTTATTAATATTTTGTTATTATTTCAAAATTACAAAAACTAACTGATAGTTAACACATCAGGACACCAGGACAATAATAATACTAAAATATGCGCTGAGATTACTTTCTTCAAAATAATAAAATGAATAATAATAAATATAAAATTATATTCGACAAAAATATCAATTTATTCAACTCGGCAAGAGAAGTTCCTAAACTTTCTACACGAATAAAAAGTTTACTTAAAAGATTTTCGTTACCAATATTACCAAAATAATAGGGAACACCATCAAAGCACTATTTTGCGAAGTTCTTTGATTTCTACTTGTTTCGATTTGATCATGCGTTTTTCAAGTCGTGACAAAATCCAAACAATATTATTATTATTTTTGCAAGAAAAAGAAAAAGGAGTATCATTTAATAATGGAGTTGTGGTGATTAAAGACATCATATTATTGTCATCGGGAACGAGAGCTGTGGTGCTGGCGTGGCGTATACAATAGTATTGTTGATACTAGCAGTGGCAGAATTATTTTGGTACGTTTGAATATTTTGTTTTTGCTGTTGTGATAATGGAAATCGTCGCATAATGCTGCAATTAAAGAATCCCCATTGTTGTTTCTAGAATTGAAATGAAGAAAAATTTAAATTTAAATCGCGACTATTATCTCTGCGTCTTAATATATTTACAACTTGTTCCAGTTCGAAATGGTGTTGATTAATCTTCACCCTATAGTCTTTAATAATTAACATATGATGAGAAATGGCCGCAATTAAAGAATCTTCCTCATTGTTGTTTCTAGGATTGAATAAAGAAACATTTAAATTTAAATCGTGATTATTAAAATGAACATTACTAATATCGTTATTAATTGATAGTAAAGGTGATGTATTTGACATAAACTAATTGTAGTGGTGGCAGAGATTGCGCTGCCAGCATGTTTTGTTGTTATCATTAGTCATTTTTGAAATGATAATAAATTGTCAACTGCAATAATTCTATGATCAATACTTTGAGTTTGCTGAGTTTCTTGAATTTGATTTTGAAGCATTTGCTGATTTGGATTATATTAATTTTTGAATTTGACCGAAATTTTGCTGAAGATTTTGTTGCAGTGATTTTGAAGTTGTCGGTCATAATTTTGTTGTTGGAGTTGTTGACCGAGATTTTGAATTGGTTACTGAAGTCGCTGCTGCTGAATAAGTTGCTGGACGGAATGTTCAAATTCTCCATTATCATAATAATTTTGTTGAAGTTGGGATTGTTGAGGTAATTGTTCACTAAGAGTTTGTTGTTGTTGAGACATTTTTTGTTTATATGTGTGTGTGTGTGTGTGCAGTGTTTTATTAAAAAAAAAATTTTTCGATAAACATCGAACTGCTAGCATTTTTATATACTGTATATATTTTTTATTATTACGGTCTAACCTCGTCGCAGCGGATTCATGGTGCTGTGACGAGAAATCCGCTATGATCTGCAAAAAATTTTTTAATACAAAATCTATTTGTTAAAATAATTTATATATTTGGTTGTATTAATTTTTCATTATTTAATAGTGTTACTTTTCTTTTCAATGATTTAAAAGCCTTAAATTCTTTATAATCTATTTCTAGATCACCTTGTTGAAGGAAATTAAGAGCCATCTCAAAAGCATTTACTGCATCTTTCGTTGAAACTTTAGGTATAGTGTTATTCTCAACGACAACATCTTCTTCGCTGGATTGAAAGAAGCAATTATTTCTTCTTCTATTACCATATTATTTGTTTGAAAATCATCAATGGTAATACTTGTACTGATTCCAAACTGGTTTGCTAGTTTGATATTTTTTGGTTCAAGTTTTTTTTTTTTTAATTTACATAAATCGCATTTTTTGTTCTGCAGTAATGTATACACATTTTTTAGAGGAGGATGATTGTTGGATATTTTTTAATTGTATATTTTTTTTTATATTTTTTATTTTTTAATTATAGTTTTAATAAATCTTAACTTATACATTTGAAAATTATGAATCTTTGATAAAGGATAAATAATCACATTTATTTTAGGGAATTGTTATTCGCACCCCTCCCGTGACTAAGACAAAGATGAACCAATAAAATCATCACATTTTAAAGCCATTCATCGGTCACTTACTACACTTAGTCACGAATAACAATTCTCTTATTTTATTGTCTACAACGAATAATCTATTTAATTGTTTATTATTTTATTTTTAAAATTTTATTTTAGAAACATGAAATCTTGTTTCGTGATCTATTTGTTTATATTTTATTAATTCAATTATTAAATCCGTGGAAAATTTTTTTTTAGTAATTTGAATAATTTTATAATCTTAAATGTCACGTGAATCCGCTTTGGTGAGATTAGTAGACAGAGAGAGAGATTACCATCAAAAATCCGCTAACACTGTGGCGCAAGTTTATTAATAAAATCCGTTCAAATATTTTAATTAATGAAAATATTTAAATCCGTTGTGACAAGAAATCCGCTGTGACGAGGTTAGACTGTAATAAACAATAATATCGTTCTAATATTACGCTGATTTTATATGTTGCGTTGCGTAACGAAAGAAAACCTTGTACAGTCGAACCTCGTTATAACCACATATTGGTGCAAAAAAAAAAAAAATCAAACGAAAATATTGAATGATAATGCAGTAGAAAAATACAAACTTGAACATTTTTAGTATAGCAGTCCAACGATATGTCACAGAAAGTGTAATTACATATATATAAATAGAAAATTCGACCCGTGTAACAGACCAGTTTTTTAAAATATCTTATTATTTTTATAACAAATTCAAACATCATTATTAATCAAAAATAAAACTATGACATTATAGGTTTCTAATGAGCTCTCCCACATATTGATAAAGGCTCACTATGTTAAGCTATGTTTATTCAAAAACAGCATTACTTTTTATTCCAAAGCTAAGATTTTTTACCAATATTACCTTTATAAACTTGGTGAGTTGTTGAAAAGATGTAAAACATTGTAAGTTTTCATATAGGTATAGCTTTATGTGGATTGTTGTTTATTAAAGTTTAGTGAAAATGGCAAAAAACTCCAAAAAACATATTAAAAAATTTTTTTTTGAATTTTGAAGAAAGGTGGGTAAAATTTATTATGCCGTTTGCAACATAGAGGTATATAATTAAATTATGTTCACTTTTTTTAATAAACAACTGAATGTAGAATATTTCATAAATATTGAAGGTGGAAATTAAAATAGTTTTACACATAGAAACAAACATTTATTATTCTTTATTTTTTCCTGCATTTATCACCCTATTTATCGCATATATATATAGAACAACAATCACCATACAAACGGCACGTGACAACAAAAACAACATTTTTTGGGGCACAAATACTCCATAAGGTGGAAATTAAAATAATTCAACATGAATATTTTTACGTAGAAACAAATATTTATTTTTTCTTGCGTTTATATATATCTCTCTATTTATCTCTTAATAGAACAACAATCGCTAAATGAGACCCAGAGATCTTGACAGATCTATACAACAACAACAACAACAACGATAAAATATTCCATGGTTTTAAAGGCTAAAATGACTATCACCTTCCTAAGATACAATGGTGCAATCTAAACTCTACCCTTCACGGGAGGAATGTAGCTTGTCAGTTTAGCTTAAGTTGCACCATGGCAAAGAAACTTACTTTAAGTCTTCAAATATGCTGCGCTCACCTATTGCAATATTATTGTTGCTGCTATATAGAGTTGGAGTATTGTTTACATGATGAAATATTCATAACAATATAATTATTTATTTACATTTATTCTATTTACAGTCAAACCTCGTTATAACGGATTTTTGGTATACCGAACAAAATCTTATCCCTATTTTTTTTAGTTAAATAAAAATTTTTGTTATAACGAATTTATATATATAACAATTTATTAAAATTTTTTTTATATATTTACTAGTCGCTATACCGAACTTTTGATAGAGAACAGATAGTCTATTAGTCGAACGATGTGTCACATTATAATTAATATTAAACGATTAAACGATTGGGAAGTGTATTTTCCGAAATTTTGGTGATCAACGTCGAAATTCTATTAATATTAATAAAATTAGCCACAAACTTTAAGTTTAACCCTTTTTTGCTCCACCAAGTCGGGGATACAGATTTTTTAGGACTTATTCCTCCTTTTGGGAAAAAAAAATTAGGAGAGATTATTAATAAAATAGAAAGAAATCTTGGTATTAAAGTTTATCGACCAAATTACCGCATTTGGAAATTTATCTATTTTCGGTCATTATTCCTGATAATCTCCTGTCCACATTTTTTCCTTTTTGTGTATTGATAAATAAATTTATCAAAATTTTTTCCAGGATTTATTTTTTCAACAAAGTGACAAAAATATCTGATTTAAATATAAAGATCAGCAACTAACCAAAAACCGGTTACAAACTTGTGACTGGTTACGGAAAATTTTAACCATACACTCAATAATAACTCCAAGTTATTATTGATAGTTAATAACCACTTATTAACTGTTGCACTCTGAGTGAGAGTTATTAATCCAAAAGATCCATTTTGCCAATGTATAGAATTCGTGCGGAATGTGCTGTGTTAACCAAATTCGGCAGATTTGGAAAAATAATTATCAAATTTGGTTAGCACGCTGAATCTTATGCACTGACATCATTTAAACTAAATTAATTATTAACTGGTTTTGTGTTTTTAAACTTAAAATAAGAGTTGTTAGTATATACTTTAATAACTCGGTCATTTTTCAAAAATAATCTCACATGTTACACGCATGATTTTTGCTAGATCGTTTATGAAATCCATATTACCGTATTTCAACATTATTAACATTATTATCGGCGGATTTAAAATATCGCGTATATTAAATATTAGTTAATAAACATAAAAATTATACTACCAATGCAGTCCATGTGATTCTATTTTCAAAGTATTTATAAAATCTTGTTTAAATTAACCTTTTCTGTCTGTTTGAAGTGTGAATATTAAATGTTAGATCCGGATAAGGACTAATACTACATGAAAAGAAAAGGCGATTCTTATAATTATAATCGCCAGACATTTAATTGTTTGTATTTTTATCTCTTTTATAAATGTAATTGATAATATAACAACATAATACAACCAACTACATAAAAAAAAAATTTTTTTTTCAGCCTTGTTTGTTTAATTAGCTTTTTCTGTCTTCTCGGCCTGTTGATGTGTGAATATTAAATGTCAGGTCCCGATAAGGACTAACAGCCACATGAAAAGAAAAGATGTTTTGTACAATCAATCAATCAGACATTTATTTTCACCTCTTATAAATTTTATAATTGATAATATAAATTTAATCAATTAATCAATTAATACAACTAACTACATTGAAAAAAAAATCATGTGTAAACGTCAGATTCCAACGAGAAAAGTAGATGCATGAAAAGAAAAGGTGGCCTAACCAATCTGATATAATCAGAGTATTTATTTTGTTTATGTATTTTTGTCCCTTATAATTTTTATAATGGATAACATAAATTTAATAAACATAACAAACAATACAATTAACCAACTACATCAAAAAAAAATATGATGATTATTTCGAAATTTGGCAAGTCAAGGTTACACGATCGCGTCCAAATAATCCTATTTATTTATTATTATTATTTTTTATCTCCATATTTAAATATAAAGTGAGGAGGCTTTACAATGAATCGTCAACAAAATCATATTTGACAGAACCTGGAACATAAATAAATCAGGGACAATAGACTGGGAAAGCACTTGGCACAACATATTTAATATATAGCAGGGAATTTACCTCGGTGAGAAAAAAGAACAAGACTTTTGAAACTCTTACAAAAAGCATATTTGGCATCCCAATGGACATGCGGGCGTGTGGTGGTGGTAATGAAAAAGTTATGGCTTTATGGCTATTTGAGCAACGCAGTTTTGGCGTTACAGCTAATGAATCCTCAGATCCTCAAGAGGCTAAATGAATTTCAGGCACAATGAGAGGTGGTTTAATTTGTGTTGAAAAGGTTATGGAGGGCAATATGACTTTACTAGTATGTATCACTAAAACTCTTCTTTCCGATTAAAAAAGGGAAAGTTTGCGGTGCTTTCAGATTATCGATACAATAACCAGAAGTATAATCTCTCACTTTAGAATTTTCCATACTGAGATTGAGCTTCAAGAAGAAATGGGATCGTTATTCTCATATATATATATAGTAAAATAAATAAATACATCATGTCTTGAATAATTCCAGAACTTTTGGATTAAAATATACATTAATTCACCGAGT